TGTGGCTTATGAAACATCAGTTCTAGAGAAGATTTATACACTTTAGGGAGTTTAGAGCCAATATTTTGTTGGCACCTCCCCCATCTTCATAAAGAATTGTTGGAAACGAGGTCTTTAGTTTAAGAGCACTCTTCACTTTGTGCGTAATGAAAATTCTTTTACGTTGTTCATTGCTATTCCTGAAACGTGAATTAGATGAACTTAATTGGATTTTTCCCAACCTACCATTTGGTGACAGAGTCTCGTAGATCGTCTTTGCTTCAAACCCGAGCCTCATCTTCAGAAGAATCATCTGCTGCTGATGCATCTGAGCTCTTTACAGACTTGAAAGAAAAGGTAGAACCACATGAAACATAGCAACACCCGTTATTGTCATAATTCTGAGAATGTTCTGTCATATTTCATCATTCATTTTATGGTGTTTCTGTTAGTTATACTGACTCTGTGGATGACTTTAAGATATAATTCCATCCTAATGTTTACTAGTGGGATGCCCTTGAGAACAAATCGACGGTGCTCCTCTACGGAGGCGGGGCGATTGTTGCTGTTTGGCTTTCTTCAATTCTTGTTGGTGCAATCAACTCAGTTCCATTGGTATATGATTCCTTCCATCAAACTTTTGCTTCAATATTCACTGACAGGCATCACCGTTGCTACTTCATGCTCTCTCTTGTTATATCATCTACAAAATATTGCTTTCCAATTTGTTTCTTCCCCTTGTAAAGCCATTTGACACTTACTCTCCGTCCATGTTCTCGTCAGCTTCCAAAGATCCTGGAGTTGGTAGGACTCGGGTATACGGGGTGGTTCGTGTACCGATATCTACTCTTCAAGGTAAGTTACAGAAGAGAACTATGATTTGTTTCAAAAAGGTTTGCAATTTTTCATGACTTGAATGAATGCTCGATGTTTTCTCAAGTTTTATTATGAGATCCCACATCGGATGAAGAGGGGAACGAATCATTTCTTATAACGGTGTGAAAACCTCTCCCTAACAGATGCATCTTAAAACGGACAATATCTGCTAGCGGTGGCCTTGAGCGGTTACATTTACCCTCCATGAAATTTCAGCATAGTTTCTAAGTTTTGTTTGAGATTAAAAAACTTGAAACTCTAGTTACATGTTTCTAACAAGATGGTCGGGCTAGAATAATCTGTTCCGAAACATAATTGTATCTTAAGTTCTAAAAAGCCATAGAAATTCTAGTTCTTGATTGGAACTGCAACTAGATATCAGCTGAAAAAGTGTTTTTGTATGGTATTTTCCTACCTTCCTCAGTCAAGCAGAAAGGAACTAGCTGATGATATTGAAGTATTGAAGAAGAAGATCGCTGGAACAGAATAAGTAGCACGTCGTCGGGCGCCATGATCGACATGGTTTGTTCCTCTTGTTATCATTTTGTACTTGATTCTCTTTCGTTTAGAGGAGGCAATCTAAATCTAAATCATGTAATGTGGAATAGTTTTTGCTTTAATCCCTGTAACTCATGTTCCCTTTCATTGTATGTGTAATAAGATCTGTTAAGTTCATTCTCAAATTTACTTCCTTCCTGCTTCACAGCAAAAATGGTGAAATTCATTGGTTGGTTCATGTTAGTTTTTTTAGTTTGCTTTGAGCTCATTTTTGGTTAAATGGATATTACCATCCCTACTGAGGTGAATCATGTAACATCCTAAGTGTACCACTAATAAATATGGTTTGTTTTAGCTCATTACAAATGGTATCAAAGTCAAACACCAAGGGATATCGAGTCTCCAAGTGGGTGGATTATAAGATCCTACATTGGTTGGAGAGGGGATGAAACATTTCTTATTAGGGTTGTAGAAACCTCTACGTTTTAAAACTATGAGGTTGACGGTAGGCTAAAACAGACAAGCTAGAGGTGGGATTAGTTTTTAAAAATTTTAAAAACGCTAATTAGTTAATTTATATATTGAATATAAATTAAAATTTTATATATAATTAAACCTAAGTTTTAAATATTGTATTTAGTGGATATACAATTTTTTTTTTTAAAATATCCAAGTTTTAAATGATATTTTATTATATAAAAGAGAGAGAAAAAGCTACCCAAAGTCCGAAGGGGCCTTGATTTTTCGCGGGCCGTGCTTCATCATTCTTCAAGTGCGTTACTGTGTTTCATGAAAAACCCTAGACTGAGTTTTTAGATTTTATGCTGAAGCTGGTGAGAAAGGGTTAAAGCTTGGAGCTTTGAGAGATGATCCGTTTCGCGAAATTGAAATCTCTGGTGCCATCTGCAGATTCCGGCAGCCACCATTTGCTTCAAAGGTGCTGGGTGAGTGGTACTGCCAAAGGAAAATCAAAAATCAAAGCTGGGCAACAGCTGAAGCGCTCCAAAATCACCATCAAGAAAGGCGGAGCCGCCTCTTCCAAGGGTGGAGGAGGAGGAGGAGGAAGAAAAATCTCTCCCGAACAGGAAAAGCTCTATGACCAATGTCTAAATGCTCCTACGCCTTTGCGGTTCCTGAAGCCCAAAGACAGAGAACGCGAGGCCGAGCGGGAGAAGCTGGGGCTCATCAGCAAAGAGCGCCAACGCGAGATTGAGATGATGAAGATGGATAAATCGAAATTGGGCGTCTCTGATTCTCCATCGATCATTGGAACTATGGGGTTGGATCTGATAACGCTAGGTGTGGTCGATGCAGATAAGATCCCTAAGTACGAATTGACTGTGGAAGATGGGCGGCGGCTTGCAAAGGAATACAGTCGGGTGTTGATGAGGCGGCACCGTGCAAGGCAGGCAGCTGAATCGACGCTGTTGCAGATGAAGAAAGATGCTATTGAAGCATTGCCAGAGCATTTGAAAGCTGCCGCATTGGTCCCAGATTTGACTCCGTTCCCGGCGAACCGGTTCATGGCGACATTGACGCCTCCAATAGAAGGCTATATTGAAAAGGTCAAGGAAGCAGCGAAGAGCAGTAGCGGGAAAGAGAAGCTTAGATGATCAGAGAGGTCAGGGATTTCTTTTGCTTGTCTTCTAATTTCCTAAACTTATCCAGTAGAATTGGCCTCTTTATTATTCCAGCCGTGGTAATAATATCTTCAGGAACTGCATTGCTCAAGTCTTGGCATATATTGAATCAAAATCTGAGTGGTTGAGTTATCAGTTAAATACTTATCTTAACGCAGAATGCATTTTGGCGGTTTTCTTGTCTCAAATTCCATGCTTAGTCTGATAGATATTTTTAGGCTTGACTTCTCTCATAGAATTGATTTATGAAGCCTTTACTTCTTTAGGATACAATTCCAGCATTTTATATGAGGGGAGCTTCTGCCTCCTCAATTGAGGAGTCGCTGCTCCTCACACTCATCTTCTTGGGAAATCTCACCTGCAATTTTTTCATTATGAGGAGGATTTTTGTCATTACCTGGACAAGGAACCAATTTATCTGCTAGATAAATCCAACCCTGTTTTCCCACGATCTCGGCCTGGAATAACTGAAGCGGAATGGGGATCATTGTTCAGAACTCAAAAACCTGTTATATGAAGTACCTGGCCAAGGAACCGATTTGTCTTCTAGATGGATCCAATCCTATTTTCCCAATATCTTGTTATGGAATAGGTGAAGCTGAAAGTGATTTGTTGTTGAACTCAAGGACATTTTTTATGAATTCCACTGTAGTTTATATTTCTGGGAACTCATATAATGCCTTTTAAAATTAAAATAATATAGGAGTATAATTCAAGTTAGGTCTTTCCCTTTGCCTCCCACCATTTGCTTCAAAGTTAAAACAATTACCAAGATCCCATTATCTCATTAAGCTAGAGCAGGCTCTGGCTGTCCTAGAGAATCTTCATTTTCTTCCTCATAATTACTCGTTTAATTTATGTTGGTTTGTTTTGGTCAGTATCAGAAGTCCACCCGAGAAGCAGGCACTCTGCATAGGTCTCACACCTAAAGGAAACATACAATTTGAACTTTTATAGTGCCTTTGGCTATCACTACATGGAGAAAATATTCCCAGGATGACCAATAGTCAAACTAAGTGAATATGCTGACATTTTACGTTATTGTTCATAAGTATGCAAATTTGAACATGAAGTGTTGCAGTTGTCTATCAGAATTGGTGTATGTATAGGGTTTAGGGTTTAGATTTATACCAAAGAATTGGTGCATGTGTTCTGGTTGCTTAATATCTAGCTTTGATGATCCTCCATGGGTTATGTTTATACTATTTGATAAAATCTCTGCCTTACTGGTTTTCCTTATGGCCTTATGTTTATCTGTTACAATTTTCTTATGTCGTCTACTATTTCGCTCTGGGAATCTTGAGATGTGATAATAATATTTGGTTGTCCGAGTTTGATAACCGACGAAATTTATGGTTGCTGATTAATCTTGTTTTTCGTTGATTGTATTAGATTACAATTGGAGCAGTAGATGAAAACCAAGTTTGTGGTTGCATTTTCAGAAAGCGACGAAGCATTGGATGCCTGGTACAATAAAATCTCCTGAGTTTTTGACTCCTGCAACTTCAAGGCTCTTTGATCCAAATTCTTGAAGAAAGATGCTTCCTTTATTGTTATTAATTTTTGGGGGGTTTTGGTTTTATGTTTCTGGACTGATTTCGAAGGCTTTACGTAGAAATAAGTTTTAAAAATATCACAATTTGGAAAATATTTGTAGTAGCTGTTGACGATTGTCGAACAAATTATTTGGAAAATAACTTTCAAATGGTAATATTACCTATTTCTTCGTTTACTGTATAGGTAAAAGGGAGGAAAACTAACGTCTTCAACACATGAATGATTTGTTTCTTCGTGCGGTGAACCAACTTCTGGTAGAATGATCCATGATAATACTCCCACAATATTTTCAAAACTTCCTCGTTTTTCAAAGTACTTTCCAAATATATAATATTCATATTTAACATTTTTGAACAGTGGATGAAATCAGGCATGTCAAACTTAACCACTGTTCTAGAAAACTGCTCATGCCATTGTCGTAGTAGTAATAACAATAAAAACAGAAGGGTCTGGTTTCTAAGGCTACGAAATTCATTTCAAAGATCCAAGGATACCAGAAGTCCAGGTTACAAATGTTGAGATGTTGAGTAGTATGGAGAAGGAAAGTAAAGCAATATCCAGAGAGATTTTGGTATATAGCATGCTTGAGATCAGGGTATTTAGTAATAAAATGGCTTTACTATTACATCGTCTTCGTCGAGTAGAGGCAAGGACAAATGGGGAGAGGAGAAGAAAAGACATACCAAGATTAGATGTTAGACAACCTATACCATAGAGAAATTGAGAATAGAATACCATTCGATGCTTCAGAGATAGAGACAGAACAGGATGTGGCCGGTCAGGGCCTGATGGTAAGTTCAGCTCTAAGATGGAGGACTCCATTAATAAAGTAGAGACTATCTTCGGCCATGAAAGACGTCCATGGTATTGCAAATAAGTTTCTATAGCCAACTGCCTTGCCTCCTGTGAACGTGTAATTGCCCTTATATTTGCTTACAAACTCTTCTGTTGGCTTTGATCTTGCAGCAAATTCATAGTCAACTGCAAAAGAAACCGACCCTTTTTCCTGCATTCCCAAGAAAAGCCCAAAACAATGAAATGAGCTCTGCTGATCCATGTTGCAATGAGCCGAAAGGAAAAACCCTTGTCCACCCAAGTGGAATGCCTGAGAATACACTCTCCCCGACGGAAACAAATTTGTGCACTCTTCCCGCTTTAGGTCCAGGTATACAACACACTGCTGCCGAGGACGATCAAACTCAACAACCTTCACTGGACGATATTTGTATGCTCTCTCGATGAAGAAGCGGCGGTTTGTGGAAGCCGACTCGTCAGCAGCTAAGATTCTCTGCCGGTGAGGAGCCTCTGCCTTAAAGAAAAGGGCCTCAAGCACGAGTTTGCAAGCAACATCATGGTCGAAGTCATTGCAGGTCAGAACTTTCTTAAGCTTTCGACAAGTCATAAAGGGGAATCGAATATAACGAGCAAGTCGAGCCCCCAACACCTCTCGCCTCTCCTCCAACTTTGGATACTGAGTTCTAGCCCATTTCAGGATGAAGTCGTATACTGCATCCTCTGATGCAACCTGAAGATCGTCACTTGATAATATTGCCTCCACTCCTGCAAGAGGCAAATCCATAACCTCCTCCTGGAACCTGGTTAGGTTAAATGCAAGAAGCCTAGTTGAGAAATAGCTTCCCTTCCAGTAAAACCCAAAGATGACAGACGCAAGGGGGAAAAGAAAAATTTTAAACGCATAAATGATAGATGAAGAAACAATTAGACTCCAAATCCACCATCACAAACATAGTCTAAAAGTTGTCACTTATCTTAATCTCTAACTTGATGCTTCTCAAAGAAGCAATCAAATTATATTTCTCACCAAATTCTTAACCTAACTAAATCTTTCGGTTCATGATCTAACGTCAAAATGCAGCAGTCAATAAATTTCTAACGTGTCTTTTCAGAACTAATCATGTCTCTATGCAAGTGGAGAGAGTCAAATTGGAAAATGAAATGAAAAATAATGGAACATGAGAAGATTATGGCATAACTCGAGAGAATCAGAAATTTACTTGGTAATGTCCTTGTAGCGAAGAGCAAGATACTGCTTTGCTGCATCAGTCAATGGTTGGACTGCTTCAGCCATTAAGACACTGGATGGAAGCTCAAGGTACAACAATGCAGAATCAGGTGTCATGGGCAGGTTTCGTAAAAGTCTGCTGCAATACCTCATGCATGAAGCAACCTCAAATTTGTCTGCAGCCATAAGCACATCGAGCAAAGCTGAAGCAGTGCTACAGGATAGGGTATTACTATACATAAAATTCAGCAACTCCATTAGGGCTGCTTCCTCTGTTTGATAGAAGGGATAAAAACATATTATAAGCAGTGTGGCCAGTAACAAAGAACAAGATATACAGGCAAGAGACGATGAAGTTTGTACTTGTACCTGAGGCATTGATTCGTAAGGTCACATTCCGTTGTTCAGACTCCCTCATCCCATTAGAGAACAGCTAAACAGGAAAGTATTTCTTAGATAAGAAAGGAATTATGGAAGACAGTTGCCACAAAAATATAACAGCAGAAGAATCTGTATATATTTTTTTATCTTATAATTACATATTTGCTTTTACCTTGTAGAAAAAAGGACTTTTGGCAGCCAAAATTGGAGAGCTGATGTGCAACGTTTTAACTTTAATAACAGTTGAACAATCCATCCCCCAGCTTGATTCATCAACATTTGCAGCTTCATCACCTGCAGTACAAGAAAACTTTTTTTTAAGACATCTTATTCTAGTAATTCAACAATTTCCAATAGGAAGTCAACTCCATTTCAATGATAGTGACAATTTTGTTTAGATACAAAATAATAATAATAATAATAATAATAAAAATCACTTAGATAAACAAATTACACAAACTCGAGAATTTGAACCACAGAAGAAAGAATGCAAGAAAACTCATTTGGAGTTAGGCAACCAAAATAATGCCAATAAGTTGGCTTCCTTGTCTGTATTGTCTATTACCTGAATGTAACTCCTCAATCATTTGTGCAGGTTCATCATCTAGATTGTCACAAGGTATGGCATCATCCATATCAGGTTGGCTTCCATTTAAAACTTGCTCCTCAGGGCATCCATTTAGATCAACAACTGCAATGAAAGTTGATCATAAGGAAACGAAGTTTGAATAAAAAGAGGAACAAAATGCACAGTGAATACGCACAAAAGGCCATATATAACAATATCCAGGTGCAATCATTGACAAAGTAATATAAAACTAACAGACAGAGGAAAAACATGCGAAATAAAGAAACTAGCTTGGTCGACAGATAAGTTCTCTCAAAACAACAGAAGGGTCAACCAGATCAATTCCTATGAAGTAAAACAATAGTTTCGTTTTCAGTATCAGACAATCATCGAACAAAGAAGTTATAATAACAAGAAACTCAGAAAAGGATTCCTCTTCGACAAAATAACATCCCTTGCGGATGTGTATCATTCGTTGCAGTGGCAGCCGTTCTCTATAATACATACCCGTAAAATTGTAAAATTCAGCGTAGCTGAGTTCTCATAGTTTTAATAAAACAACAAAACCACTATGCTCCCATTTCCTATTTCACCTTGCAAACTGAGGCTTCCCATCATGTTTTTTCTTTTGCAATCATCACACATATTACTCCTGTAACTATCCACTTCATGACGCCCCCCACCTCGCTTAATAGAGATTTATATCTCCGTTTCCCAAATAATAAATAAAAAATTTCAATGGTTCCAAGTTTTGTCTTTCGTCAACGCCGACAATCAAACAGAGGCAAATTCCCGGGAAGGAAATCAAAAAAAGGAAGAATAAGAGGAAAATTAGAACCAAAATTTACCGTTTTCCTTCTTGCAATCCTCTCTCCGTCTCTTCCGTCGAGCCCAATCGAGGATGCTAATACATCCCGCAGAATCGGGACGGGACTCAACCGGTTCTCCCATAACCTCAATCCGAAGCAGCCGATCGGAGAAATTACTGTCGTTAAAAGCGAATCCAAAATCCGCGTCGGATGATGAAGCACAAGAGGCACGCGAATAATCTGAATCCATCCCGGGCGTCGGGTCCAAGATATCCGAATTCAAATCCTTCATCCCTCCACCCCACCCGAAGAAAACCCTAAATCTCCCGAATCAACCGAAACGCAAGAAACAATTCGAAGCCCTAAAGATCGAAGTCGCTACATTTCAGTTGGAAGAACGATACTGAGGATGAGCCCATCGGCCCTGAAGAAAAAAAATAAATGTAAAAGGAGAGATGAAGAGAGAAGCAGAAGAAGTAAAGCGGTAACGGGGCGCCTGCGAGGAGGAGTTGGATTTATTTGTTTGGTTACGGGAATAGAGGCGCCCCTATCAATTCCCGACCCTAAAGAGGGTTGGATTTATCAAAATTGCTTGACCCGTCCCTCACCCGCTGCCCCAATTCATCTGGGACTACTCCCTCTCCCTTTCATTATTTATATTACCCCTTTTTCTTTCAATTATTCCATTTTTCCAACTCTTTCTTTTCTTCATCCATCTATTTTATTCTAATTTAATTTCGTAGCCAAATTCAGCAACATATTTTACAAACCAACAAAAAAACAAATGAATAAAGATTCGGTATCAAAATGGGCAGCACGGCCCACTCATAATGGCCCAACCCGTCTATTGGACGGCCCAAACTCATGATGGCCCAATCCGTCTTATGGACGGCCCAAGTATGGTGGTTCGGCCTAATTAAGCACTGAATGATACAAATAATTAAATTTGGACCAATTATAAATTGATATCTTATATCTTTATTAATTAATTTTGTAATTCGAAAGCTACACCATGTCGTCAAAAGCTCTATAATCCAAACTCCTGAAAATCAAAGCTCTCTGTAACCGTAGAAGACTTAAAATTCGATCATGGACGCTTTGAAGATTAGAAGACTTTTCGAATCCTTTAAAGTCCTGAACTAAAACATAGGAATACAAATCAACCCAATTCAAGCTCAATCCACAAAAAGAAAACTATTTAAATCACGTGCGAATGCATTGAACCACATTTGCATCAAATATATATATAGCATATAACGAACTAAAAATTTGTTTAGAATGTATATTTGTTCCCTTGTTTGGTCTTTCCTTCCATAACTTTCAATGGTTCAAATTTAATTTATTTACTTTTATTCAAATTTTATTTTAGTTTTTTAAAGTATTTTTGTCAAAATTGGCTAAATGAAAATTGAATAAGGGTAGTTACAATCTTTCCAATTAAATTTAATTAAAAAAGAAAAAAAACTTAACTAGTAGTTTAATTAAGCCTATAAAACTATAAAGATGTTACTCTATTAAAACAATTACATAAGAAGCAGCATTTGTACTTTCACTTGACACCTATCGTGATGATACATGACTCTTAAGTAATAATCTCAAATAAAAAAAAATAACAATGAACTATATTATCGAAATCATCAAAATTGAACAACGGTAACAATAATCGACTTTGATTAGAGCAAACTTTACATATTTCAGGCATTGAAATCAACAATAAAAAAAAGTAGTTTTTTAATCATGCTCATGCATAACTTTACCATTGGCATCTTACTAAACCATATGATAACATGAAACCCTTTCCAAAAGAGAAGAAACTCACAAAGTTTTAAAGAAAAAATTGATTGATAGATAGATATAGAAAGATAAAAGAAAGAACATAAGAGGAGCTCCCTTCAATCCAATAAAGGAAAGGAGAAGGTAAGAACAGCTCCGGGCGCATGCAAACCTTTGGAAGGTGCGGCGCCTAAGCGCTAGCGCGGCACCCCACAGGCATCCATGAACTCGCAGCACTTCCTTTCACCTTCTTCCCCCCCTCTCTTTGAATCAAAGGGAGCTCCATCGCCGCCTCTCCCCTCCGCCGCCGTCACCAGAGGTGGAAGTAATGCACAAAGAGTCAGTCCCTGGTACACCCTTATATAGAGAGGGTAATGGGAGGAAGAAAGGTGGTATTAATGGAGACGGGTACGCCAAATCTGGGGCATGGATCTTCTCTTCATTAGAGAAAGAGAGTCAATGGTGGGGCAGAGCATCTCATTAGCCACATACCATTTCAGGAGAAGCCTTTTTACCAACGGTTAGAATTCTGTGGAAACAGCTAGGTTTGATCGAGCAGAATTAATAAGAAACAGATTGAGAGGTAATTATAGAAAGTTGAAAAGTGAGCACTGATTTCCACATTTCTCACTGCTCCTTGATTGATTGATTGATTGTTCCCTTATAAACAACAAATGGGGTTATCTCCTTCTCTCTAATAACCCTCTTTTATGTGAATTTTCAATCACATTTCATCTGTGCTCCTCACTTTCCTCATAAAAATGAATACAAAACAAGGCCAAAACAGCCATGAAGTAAAGAAATCTCAGGCAACAACAGAACAATAAAACGTTTTTACTATAAAATCTAGCATGAACCAAAAGATAACGCCAGACCCATTTCTAATAATAATCTCTCTCGGTCTTCCTGCAACAATGGGGGCGCATCATCTTCATTTTCAGCTACAGAAAATGCATTTGTCTCTGCTAACAATCCCCTCTCCTACATGAGCCTCGTGGCTTTCCTATGATACATTATGATTTGCGAATCATGATGTGGGCAAGGAACAAACATAACTTTTTGTTGATTTCTCCCCACTGGGTTGACTTGACATGGATCATCAGTAGTCAAAACTCCTGTAAAGTGAGCATACAAGATGTGTTTAAGAATATGAGTATGGTTTGCCAGTTTCTTTAGAACAATAAGTAAAGGAGTAGTGGTACAGAAACTCACCAGTTTTTGTTTGATTCTCTTGCTAGAAATACTTTGCCAAGAAAATCCTGGAAACGAGAAGAATATACTTTGGGATTCACGGCTGAGATTGACTTTGAATCATATTGTATCGATTTGTAAGCATGCTCCAGACGCTTTATCACATTGTAATTCTGAAAAATGTCTATTATTCCAAAGTAAAGCAATACATTGTAGCACTCTGGCACCCTGACCCTGCTTGATGAAGAAACAATCCCCATCTCGTTCCTTGGCGTCCGGACTGCACTAGCAGGAAGCCTTGCACCAAACCTGAGACCAAGTGTTCAACAGCTCCTTATAGTTCATATGCTGTTTTTGTTTATGATTCATCAGAGGGAAGTTGTTTAAACAGACAATGATTGGCATGCATTATACATTTAAACTGGAAAGCAGACCATGTCTAGCTCAAAATAAGCCGGTCTGGCTAAAATTCAGTTCAGCTTGTGAGTTTCATATTCACCAAATGAACATAAAGAATTCTAGGTCGCAAAATAGATAAACAGAAACAAAATCTGGTTCTATGAAGAACTAAAGATTGATGGTGTATACCTGCCATTACGTTTAAGAATGTCAGCAACAGTCGAGTCTGCACCCTCATGAACCAGAACGGTCCTTGTTCCAGAAACAGAATTTCTCCTGTCTACTGGGCCTGAATTGAACCATGGAAAGTTATGTTCCGTTCACAAACTCTTTTTCAGCTTAAATGCTAAACAAATGATGATTTAGCAGAATTCAGACGGCATTACATATTGTCTTTATTTCCTTCCTCTACCTTCTGCATGGCAGTCTACACCATCAAATGCGTATGCAATCAAAATGTGTGCATTCAAACATGAACAAATAAGGGAGAGAGTCACCTTGACGCGAGGAGGCTTCTATATGTACACCAAGCAAAAGACTATAGTCCATGATGCCTTCAGCCTCCAAAAACTCGCAATCATACTTGAGTTGCCTGAAGAACAAAAGATGGACAAGAACACTCTTAAAACTTTGCCATATGTGATGAGAAGATGGGATGAATTTGTATAAATATGAGAAATCATCCTAAAGCATTTTGGAAAGCATTAGAGAGCAATGGACTTACGACAATATCTTGTTACGGAGTGAAGGTTCGAGGTAAAAGTAGAAATCGAGATCTATATCCTTATATATTATCTCCTCATGGACTACCACTTTATTAAAATTTCGACCTCTCGATGACCCTTTGAGATCATATCGCCGATGCAAGTGCAAGTCCGATCGCAATACGTTAGACATGACTGCAAAATAAACCTGTGAAAACGAAAAACCATTAAACAAGCACGAAATCATGCAAAAAAAGAATAATCAAAGCCATGTTCTCAATTTTCAAATTACTCGGAATAATCTTTCAGGAAGTATCACATGATGCTTTAGTTCAAATGAAAACTATAACTTTTGAAATAGGGTCTTTCAGGATATTGAAAAGTTCACACATAATCCCTACAATCTATGAATTGCACTCTTCCAGATGAACTTCTTCATCAAAGCTTAGAAAAAGCCATTCTATGGGAGGTCATATAGCAGAAGTGCTCATTTTCTTAACTCCAACAGAAACAGACCTAAATACATATCTCTAACATATTATAAGGGGAGAGAAAACAATATGTATTACAGAACTTACATTAAAAAGGGGAATCTAAAATTATAAACTTCGCAGGAGTAGACTTCTGTAAACGATAAGATACTAAGGTTACTGAAATTTTCACCTTAATACCTCCGATTGGTCTCAATACGTGCAGTCCATATAACGTGGTCAACAATGAAAACCCATGTTTTATTAGATGTCGATAGTACTTTGGAAGCATCTCCCTGAGAACCTGAGATCACGTGTTGAGCTGAAGTAAGATCTCAACGCACACTCTAAATTCGATAAACAGAGTATAAAGTTAAACAGCTTTTTTCAGGTATAAATTTCTGTTTTCAATTTATCTGTTAAGCAAGCAGTCATTTTCTGGTATAAGTAATGTTTCGCAGGGTGATAACCTTACCTTGACTTCAGATTTTCGTAGAGTTTTTATCACAAATCGGTCGTCATTTGACAGAAATATCATGTTGCCAATTCTTCCTGGTGCAGAAACCTCTCTTAGGGTCTCATCACCACAAATCGACATCATGTAGTCGCCATAGTCTATTTTCTCTAGCTCTAGAATGCTTCTGAATGAAAAAAGAAACACACAACATAAAAACAGTCAGATTTCATCTTCATCTAGCTTTAGGATTACTGGGTTTTGTTAAAGCTTTAAGATTGATTTTGAGCGTGGAGAACCTGAAAACCGAAGGACAATAATCTTTCCACTCAAAGTCAGTATATGAGCCCTCAGGAAGACGTATATTATTTTTCTTGGTATATTGAATCCAATTATTTTTAGTGGTTTTGAAGTCCTGTGGTGAGAGCTCCTCTCTCCCCATTGCCATGAACTACCCTGCAATAGAGAGATCTTGTTCAAATACAAACAAAAGCAATAGAAACTCGGATACAATAATCAAAGTAATCACTCTTAAGCAGCCTAAATGGTCAAAACATATGAGATTTTGGTATTAACAAATTCGTCCAGTTGAGAATCTTTCCAAAACCTGCAATGATGGAAAC